TACTTGGAGAGAATGAATTTTTTCTTCCTGGCTAACGATATTGTAAAGGTTGAAAGACGAAAGGCTATATTTCTTACGCTAATAGGCGCTGAAACTTATGCTATAGCAAGATCGTTGGCCTCGCCAAAAGAATTATCTTTCGTGGAATATGATGACTTAATTAAATTATTGACGGGTCATTTTTGTCCTAAGCCAAATATAATAGCCCAAAGATTCTTGTTCAATAAAAGAAATCAGGGTGATGAATCAGTTAGTGCCTATGTTGCAGAGCTAAGAAAGTTAAGTGAAGATTGTGAATTTATGGATTTGGAGGATCGATTGAGAGATAGACTGGTGTGTGGATTGAGAAAAGAATGAATAGTAAAAAGATTATTATCTGAAAGTAATTTAACTTTTGAAAAGGCCTTAAACATTGCTATATCTGATGAATCGGCTAGTGCAGACGCCAGTGTTTTGCAAGAAAAAATTACAGAAGTAAATATGATGAAAAAAGCTAGCAAAACTGAACCACCTAAATTTAAATCGGGCAAAGTTCATTTTAAGGAATTCAAGAAATTAAATACTAAAATAATTATTTGCATACGTTGTAAAGGAAATCATATGCCAAATGTATGTAAATTCCGAAATGCTAAATGTTTTTAATGTGGCAAGATTGGTCATGTACAAAAAGCTTGCTTAACAAATGTTGGTAAATCTGGAAACCTATATAGGGCTAATAGTAATCCAACTTTATGTTGCCTGAGAAGGGAAGAGATAAGCAATCCTTATTATATAACAGTAAATTTGGATAGCCACGATGTACACATGTTAATTGACTCGGGAAGTGCATACTCATTATTAAATGAAGAAACTTTTCTTGAATATTGGAAATTGACGCAACTTAAAAAATCTGAGATACTTCTAAATACATGGTCATCCAGTCAAGTAAAAATTCTTGGGAAACTCTATGTTAAAGCAAGACTATCCCATGGTAGTAGAAGTTTACCAATTTTAGTGGCTGATGGATTAGGTCCCAACATTCTGGGAAGGCAATGGTTTTCAGCTTTTCGCCTGAAGTTAAACTTTTTAAATTCATTGGAAACTAATCCTATTTCACCTGATTTCGAGGAATTGTTTAAGAAGGAAATTGATGTCTATAATGGGCCATTAATACACATTGATATTCCTGATAATGCTGAGCCCAAATTTGTGAAGGCCAGAACCGTGCCGTTTGCTCTGCGAAATTTAGTGGATGAAAAATTGAAAGTACTAGAGGAACAAGGTGTTATCGAACCGGTAAAATTTACTAAATGGGCTTCTCCAATTGTTACAGTTCTGAAGAATGATGGCTCCATAAGAATTTGCCACGATTATAAATCAACAGTTAATTTATATTCTAATCCTGATAAATATCCGTTGCCTACAATTCCGCAACTATTGAATAAGTTGAGAGGAGGCAAATTGTTTACTAAAGTAGATATGGCTCAAGCGTATCAGCAGTTGAAAATTGATGAGGAAACTTCAGAAATCCTAGCTATTAATACACATAGAGGCTTATATAAGATGAAACGTCTACCTTTTTGTTTGAATTCTGCCGTTGGAACTTTCCAGAGGTTTATGGACAATCTTTTGAGTGGAATTGATGGAGTAGCGGTATATTTGGATGATGTCCTTATCACAGGAACTAATTCTGAAGACTTAAAAAAGAAAACTGAAAAAGTTATTTTGCGTTTCAAAGAAGCAGTACTTCGGCTTAAAAGAGACAAATGCAAATTCTTCGTGTCTGAAATCGATTTTTTAGGACTAAAAATTGACTATAGAGGAGTTCATCCATCTGATGAAAAGCTAAGAGCTATTAAAGACGCTAGACCGCCATGTAATAAAAAAGAGTTAATGTCTTTCCTTGGACTTTTGAATTACTATGAAAGGTTTTTAAAAAAGAACTCCACAAGAGTCAACTAAAATTGAAGACCCCCAAGCTGGTCAGGAAATATATCCTACTGGTGAAGCATCGAGTCCTATTTTGAGAAGGTCCTCAAGATTAAGAAGGCCTTCGAAGTTTTTTGAAATGTAAATTTTTGTTGTGGGGAGAATTTGTAATATATTCATATTTTCATTGAGATTGTTTATCATCATCGTTTGCTGTATAAATACTTTGTTTTAATTAAAATGAGTGGTATGCAAAAATAACTTGCGTTGCGTTTAATATTTTTTAATTAGATACATAATACTGCCTCAAAAATGAAAACTATTTATTGCAATTTTTCTATATAGACCAGAACAATTTGTTATATCTCATATTGCAATGATATAATTATCGGTTATTCCTGTATCACACACAGAATATGCATTTACTTTGCATACCAACCCTTTGTACATATTTCAATTGTGTTGATTTTTTTTTCTATTCTCACCTAACTAAATTGTATACTAATACTTGTACATATTTCAAATATCTTTCTTTCTTTTCTTTCAATGTTTAGTTTACCTTTAAAGTATAAGTGTCCCTAGGGGGACATAGAGCTCTAAGTTCAAATGAAATAAAATAAAGAATATACACATATCAGTGGTTAAAACAATGAAAATAATCATGATATCCCAGTATTTTTTTTATCATTACAGTGAAGAGTGTAGAAAAATGTTCTATTTGAATAAAAATCGCAGTAAATAATTTGTATTTCTGAATTTTCATAATATTAATAGATTTTTTTTCATATAACGTTTCCATTGATTAGTAGAAGATTGCAGAAATTTATTTTCATAAATATATATTCATTTAATCAATTTGTTATTGTATATAAAAATCTTGTCTTTTTCGGATGAAAAAATAAAACATATCTTTAAAAAACACCTAGAAAAAGGAACAAAAATAAAGAAACATTTTAAACTAACGATAGCAGAAGATTGCAGGTCAAACCAACCAGCAGTGTCGGATTAAAAAAGATTAAAACTCTGTGGTACCAAGGTGAAAACCATTTGACCAATTGATCACGTCGGCGTTTGGCAAATGGATCCCCGAGAAGTTTCTAGAATTTACTTTTAGTTATTTCTTCTGCTTCAATTTTTAATGCTCTCTAGACAATAGGGAGAAAAATGGGGAAAGATTTTGTTATTCTAAACCAAGAAGTGTTGGTTGAGCTTTATAAACTATTGGACTCATATTTTAACATTCCTTCCACTTCACCACAAATATTAAAGTCGAAAGACAGATATTACAATTCAAAACGTCACCTCTAGGGATAAAAAATGTTCTAACATTTTGATAAAATAAAAATACAGCCCTTTAAAATATATTTAAATTTCATTTTTTTATTATATATACTACGAGATAGAAAATTTAATAAAATTTTTCAAAAATGGTTTAAATAATAGAATCAGTATCTTTATTTAAATTTTGATAAATTCTGAATTTTATTTTTGTTATTTTTGTTTGAAATAAAGTTTTATTTTTGAATAAAATATTTAGGATAAATAAAATATTGACACGACTTATAAAATAATTTATTTATATATATATATTTAATGGTTAAGTGGTAAATAGAGGAACTTTAAATATATAAAACATATATATGATTTTATATGTCAATATAAAAATATATATTATATATTTTTTATTTATTACCAGTTGCAAACAAGACACGCTATATCCGATCTGGATAATTGCGCGTGAAACTATTTACAATAATTCATATTGTAGTAGAGTAGGTAACAGAATTATCAAAAGAAAATAAACAATTAAGCAAAAGAGCATTGAATAAACATATACTTTAAACAAATAAGCAACAACACAAGCAGATAGAAGAAATCGCAAGGTAGTTATTTACAGTATGTTAAGCAATAATGGGAGTTGATTTAATGAAGTTATCTGTAATACTATATTTTGGTTTAGATTTTAATGACATTTATGTGTATGTTTATATCAATCTATATTCCTTCCATTATTTTGAATATATACATATAAAAATATACACAACAATTAACAGTAGTAGATATAACGAATGAAGACATTAATACGCGAATGTTGTTTTCATAAATAATTCAAACTTCTACTGTCCTTACTGCGTTGAGAAAATATTGGTAGGAATTGGTTCATCAGTGGTGAACCCTCCCAGCGGTTTCGCTCAATATAATCTACCAAACATTCGTGTATTGATGTCTTCATTCGTTATGTATAGATGGCGCGTTATTGCCGGTTCAAAATCACATTAATAGGTACCGTTCAACAAGAGCAACCTAGTTCATGATAGTTGAAACAGTGAATAATATATGAAGGTTATTCACATATTAAACAAATTTTTAACGCGGAATTCAATCCCGGTTCATGACTGTCGGGAATCGAGAGTGTTACCCACTCGTTCACCGACTTTTAAAGGCGCGTTATTGCTTTGTATTAATAATAAATATAAAAATAAATAGAAAAATAAAACGGAGATTAAAGAGAAGTTTCTTTGTCGATAGAAATATATATAACAAAATTTAAATATTCCATTATTTAAAAAAAAAAAATTAAAAAGAGAGAGAGGCAGGGGGGATAAGGTGACATTTTAACTAAAAAATATAAATATAGTGTTTGAAACATGACTTATTTATTTACCAAAAGAGTCACCTTTCCAATTAAAAAAATCATTTACACAATGAATTTTGGCTCATCACTCCAGTATGTAATGGTGTTTGTGAAGATGCTTCAACACCTGTTTGAAAATATCAAGATAGCTATGTGAGGATATCTGTGATAATAAACTCATTAATAAATTTAAATATCTTGTCAATCATATAAATTAGGGAATATGAGCATAAATTTGGAAGAGGAAAGCGAAGACTAATTATATTTATTACTATACTAATTAAAAAGCTGATTCCACACTCGCCTATTAAATGATACGCTAACCTATGCACGATGGATTCTGTGGTCACTGGACATGCGTCGGGCTGGAGACTATTGGGCTCTGCGCTGCCTGGAGTATAGGAGCTCCACCTATGCTTCCTTTTTGTGGTGAATCTGTTTAAGACCGGTGGTCACAATAAAGCTGTATGTGTTTGTGTATTCATAAATATGCCATGGCAATTTATTTTTATCAAAATAATTTTACCATATTCATTTAAAATTGAAAAGAGGGCAAGGTGTGAAAAAGCGCTCAGTAACAAAATATTATATTTAATAATCTGTGAATAAAATAATAAATATTCTGTTACAAGGCTTCCGTCCTATGGGACTGTAATCCACAGCTTACCATACCGATCTTATATATTTCTGTCAAGATTTTTCAGGGCTTAGAAGATGAACCTTATTATGTCAAATCTTTTTTTTTTTTTTTTTTGCGAAATGAAGGACGGCTTTATCATCGTAGTGTCCTCTTCAATTTGTCTTCTTAGAGAGAAGTCTTGACTTTGACACGGCGGTCGAATATTGGAGTCAATCGTGAAAAGAATTTACAGTACCTATTGGGTCTGCTCATAAATCGTCAGATGGTCTTCGGGAATCCACCCAGTATCTCCACAAAAATGTCACATAGAAAAAAGTAAGGAATATGAAGTGGATGAAATAAATATTTTTTTACAAAAAGATATAGAGGTGGTTTTTTATATATAGATTTTTGCAATGTTTTGTACAACAAAAATATTTTCTATCAATTATTATTATCTTGGTTAAATTAAATATTTATAAAATTAAATATGCAAAAAATTATTTCGTATAAAAATAGTATATATACCATCAATATTTTGTCGTGATACTCCTGTGGAAAGACTGACAGGTCCGAAAGCTAGAGAATAAAATTTGAACAAGAAACATAGCCCTGGAGACTTTATTTTCTTCATAAAAATATTTTCAGGTTGTACAACATTTGATCGTAGAGCTCTATATACATATTTCAAATATAAAATATATTCATTAATAATTAATATATATTATACCTTTTGGTTTGGTATTTTATTTTATTTAACAATTGCAGAATACACGCTATATCCGCAAATCGGATATTTGCGTGTGAAATAAATAAATTTGAATGAAAAAAGAAAAAGTAGTTTAAAGGGATATATACATATTTACATATCAGTATGCAAATTAATTACATTAGTAGTCACTTATTTAGTTAGGTACATTCTGCAGAATTTGTTGAATCTTTGGTGTATTTCCTTAGTGTAGACCAGATGTTGCATATTTGTTATAGGAAGTTCATTTAGTTCCCTAAGGTCAGCAGTCAGCGGGCAGTCAGTTAATAAGTGTCTGGGGTTCTGTTCTTCGCCTCCACACGAGCATTATATATTATATTATATACTTGAAATCAATTCGTGAACTTATATAACATTATTGAGAAATAAAATTATATTTTATACCATTTCAATCATCTTAATATTAAGATTGGGAATTCTTTCTAAAAACATTTTTGTAAATATTAATTTTTAAGAAGACTTTGATAAGAACTAATGTAATTTGCAATGTTATTGTACTTACACAGTTTATCATTTTTATATTTTTGAAAGATTTGAGGTATATATTATGAAGATTGAAGAATATTATCAAATTTTACTTTTCGAATTATCAAATATTTCAAATATATGTTTAAACTCACACACCAATTGTTCTAACAAATGAACTAAATTGTTCAAATATGAATTTTATTCTGTTTTTATAAGCAAAATCACTATTTATAATTATTAATAGACTAATTATTTTTAATATTTGATGGTTTAACACACGTGTTCATTTTGTACTTGAACGTGAATAACCAATTCACATGTTCTTTATCTAATTACAGTTGTTGTTAAAAAGAAGCTTTCTCTGATTATAATTCAGGGTTTTCCATCTACTGAGACTACTAAAATATTGATAAGTGAGAAATTGGTTTATATAATAATAAACTTGAGTATTATATAAGGTGAAATAAACATATACGATATATGAAACGACATTAGAAAATTATCCCGCATGTGTTTCTTTTGAACCAAAAATCGAAATTTATTTTTAAAGAGTGTTTTTCCGTTTATAATTACTCTTCACAATTCATAATTTCATACTTCATTCCTAAGGCTAGACATAATCGTTATTTCTCCTTAAAAATAAATTTCGATTATATGTTTAAAAGAAACACATGCGGGATAATTTTCAAATATCCTTTTACAATCATAAGCCGCATTATATTGTATTATATACGATATATATAAAACCGAATATATAAAACGGTTGGTGTTGTAATGGAGTCATTTCCCACAGACTCAGTCCCCCACATTGGACTTTCAAATGGGATCATCTCGCTGTCATATCCACCCGCCGGATCTAGACGGAATACCAACTCCCCGCTAAAACTTTGCTGATGCTTTTTTATCAATACCATCTCCCACACCCTACACTGTCGGCTTAGCTCGATTCTTTCTGTCGTCGCTTTTGTAAATGGCTTTCTTTTTTTATATATTTGAACTGTTTTAATGAATATATGTCATATATTTATGTTTTCTACACTAATATATCTATTTATAAGCGTTAGAATTCTAGGAATTCTAAGTTCTAAGAACAACGGAAAAATGTTTATTCTATTATTTCAATAAAAAGAAACGAACTTTCAAACCTTTTTCAATAGGTTTAACTCCCCTTTAGTGTATATATATATATATGTTATATTAAAATATTATTTCATTTAAAATTATATTTCATAGATTCTAATACTCTGTTAAATCGACCGCCAGAGGTCACGCTTCTCCTATATAAACTCGTTGCTGTTGTTTCCCGATGGCCGGCTCAAACCCTTTGTACATTATGTAAATAAGTTTTCCATTTTTTTATTATTACGCTTTAAGCCAGGCAGTACTTATATTTCATAAGCTCAATTAAAGCTATTTCTAATCTTCATTATTTTTATATAAAATATATATATATATATATATATATATATATATATATTTATCATTCTTATCAGTTTGCTCCTTAAGTTTTAAATGTAGAATCACTGTTATATTTTTTTTATATAGTTTTTACACTATATATATATATATACAGGGTGTACCAGGTAAATTGGGACTAACTTTGACAGTCCATAAAACAAAAACTACTTGAGATTAAAAACTTGTTTTTTTTTTCATTACGTAGCCATATTCATGTTAAATGCAACAGTACATGTGTGCGCAGTGTAGTGATGAAGAGTAACCGAGAATTTGAAAATCGAGCTGCCATCATCGTTGCTCTGCGCGCCGGAAGGAGCCCCAAAGAGATAGTGGATTTTCTTAAGTTGCCCAAAACCACTATTTATCGTGTCAAGAAGCAGTTTGATGAGGCCGACAGTAACAAAGAGGGGATAGCTACAAGGAAAAAGCACTCGCGTCGATCGGACAGGGTAAGAGGCGAAGAATTTGTCAAAAATGTCAAGGAGAAGATTGATGGAAACCCTGGGAAGAGCATGAGGGCCATAGCCAAGGAAATGGACGTTGGCTCTATGACAATTGTCAGAACTATCCATGAGGACCTTGGTCTCAAGTCTTATGCCCTTCGGAAAGGTCAGTTGCTGACTTAGAATATGAAGAATAACAGAAAAGGAAAGGCTGCTGCCCTCCTCAACAACCTGAAACACGACTCTTTTGGCATGCTAAGGTTCTTCTCTGACGAAAAGAACTTTGACGTGGACCAAAAGGTAAATCCCAGGAATGATCGCTGGATCTGTAAAGACCCCTCAGAGATACCTGTCGTGATGCACACGAAATTTCCTGCCTCCGTAATGGTCCTTGGCGTTATCAGCAGTGAAGGTGATGTCATGCCTCCCCATTTCTTTGAGAAGGGCCTTAGGATGAACGCTGACACTTACATCAATGTTCTGGAGACCGTTGTGAAGCCTTGGATGGACATGGTGGCCGCAGGAAGGAAGTATGTCTTCCAACAGGACTCAGCTCCAGCCCATAAGGCAAAAAAGACACAATCGTGGCTGACACTTAACGTCCCTAGTCACTGGGGTCCTGATATTTGGCCCCCTAATTCTCCAGATTGCAATCCCCTCGACTACTATGTATGGGGCGTTGTTGAGAGAGATGTCAACAAAGCTCATCATACCACCATCCAGTCTGTCAAGAAAGCAGTTCACACGGTGATGACCCAAATGGACAAGGTCATCGTCGCCAAGGCCTGTGCTTCATTCCGCACTCGCCTCGAGATTGTTGTAGCTAATAATGGAAACTACATTGAATAAATAAAAACTATATCCTTTTATCTACTACTGTGTCAAATTTCATTCGGATATTTTAATTTTTACTTGCAAAAAATTTCTGTTAAAATACCATTGTTGAAATTCCCAATTTACCTGGTACACCCTGTATATATATGAATATTATGTATTCTGATAATTTTTGAATTTATGAAATAGATTGAAGAATCTAAACATATGGAAGAATAATTGAAAGAGGGGGGACTCTCTCAACACTTGATGATAGGCTTAGAAGCATCAAGAAAAGGCATTAATTATCATTATAATCATCAACTCGGGGAGGACAATAAGCAAAGGGAGACGGGCTAGAAAGCCCCAAGGCTGTTTTAATTACTCAGACAATACATTAAGTGCCAATATTGTTTGCCAATTCCCCCGGCCCTGCAAACCAGTAATAACACAAGGAATTACTTCTGACAGCCAATTTCTGGAGTTATAATTTATTTGGCTCCCTTATTATTAACACTCCAGGCATTCTACTATACTATTTCTAACCTAACTTAACTATCTCGAGGTATAGAGTCACTTTGGGACAATGGGTAGATGAACTCATTTGAATAATTGCCAATATATCTTCATCAAAACGTTTTAAATTGATTAATAATCCTTTGATACTTCACACAACATTACTCTTATTGACTAATCAAATATCTATTAAAATACAAGTTGTATTAATTACTTGTAGTACTACAGTAAAATATTTTGATAATAAAGAAAGTAATGATCTATAATTATTATTAGTAAAAAAGAGATTTTATTAATCGCGAGAATAGGATTATATAAATTAGAATTGATAGTAAAGTTAACTAATGCGGATTGATACTCTTTAAAACAATTGATCATATATAAATATGATAGTAATTATCAATAGGGGGCAAAAAGGAAGGGCATTGAATTCCTTCTAGTCGTAGTTGGTCTTTTTAGTCACTTATTTTGTACTAGACGAATGGCCCGGGCAATGCCCGGGTTTTACCCGAGTGCGAATATATTTTAAAAACGTTTTAATTCAAATACTATTCGTTACAATTATAAATTGGCGCCATGGATGTCACTCTTGTGAAACGTCCCGTTCCAAACTGTGTGTTTTTAAAATGTTTTAACTATATATAATATAACGGTATAATAACGGTATAAAGAAATAATGAGCCTATAGCCTAGTGGTCATGGCATCTGCCCGGTAAGCGGAAGGTCGTGGGTTCGATTCTCATCCCTTGACCTTGTATACATCTTGCTTCCTAGGGTTGCCTAGAGTGGCGGCTATAGACAGGGTGGTCTGTATAGTCAGGTGGATGTATCACACAGCTGATAACAGGGTTGCCTAGAGTGGCCGCTATAGACAGGGTGGTCTGTATAGACAGGTGAAAGTATCACACAGCTGATAACAGGGTTGCCTAGAGTGGCCGCTATAGACAGGGTGGTCTGTATAGACAGGTGGATGTATCACACAGCTGATAACAGGGTTGTCTAGAGTGGTCGCTATAGACAGGGTGTTCTGTATAGACAGGTGTATGTATCACACTGCTGATAACAGGGTTGCCTAAAGTGACCGCTATAGACAGGGTGGTCTGTATATACAGGTGAATGTAACACACTGATGATAACAGGGTTGCCTAAAGTGACCGCTATAGACAGGGTGGTCTGTATAGACAGGTGGATGTAGCACACTGCTGATAACAGGGGTGTTTAGAGTGGCCGCTATAGACAGGGTGGTCTGTATAGACAGGTGGATGTAACACACTGCTGATAACAGGGTTGTCTAGAATGGCCGCTATAGACAGGTGTATGTATCACACAGCTGATAACAGGGTTGTCTCGAGGGGGGCAGGGAGGCCACGTGTTCGCGGGCAGCCAATGGGCGCGCATTCTATCCGTGAACTTCAGACAGTGAGCTTCAGACAGACAGAATAAGGCAATTATATAAGTAGATTCGCTTCCTTGTTTATATATGCATATATAAATATTAGATAATAAAAAGGCATATATCGGATTTAATAAAAGATTTATTTTGCCAATATTTCGGCTGGCTGAACGCCAATCTTTATCGAGGCATTACATTTTTGTATACACAACCTCAGCGCCGCATAGTGTATTTGTGTGAGTTTATGTATACAAAAATGAAATGCCTCGATAAAGGTTAGCGTTCAGCCAGCCGAAATATTGGCAAAATAAATCTTTTATTAAATCCAATATATGCCTTTTTATTATATAATGAATTAAGTATGGATTGCTCTATTTTCAAAATATAGAAATATATTCAAGAATATGAATAATCTTGGAGAATATCAAATTAATTAATAATTAATTATGGTATGGGGGGGGGGGGGGAGAGAGACTATTGTTTGTTTCTTTTTTCTAATGTTAATATTTTTTTTTTGCGAAAATAATAAATTAAAAATATTGTAAAGTAGAAAATTAGGGAAGACAAACTTCAGAATGACACGGAAATTTATTTGAGACAAACCCAAATTAAAACTAATAAAATAGCAGAGGGGCAATGAGAAAAATTTAGTGTATCAAAATACAAACATCGAAATTTAAAATATATATATTTTTTCATATAATAATAAATAATTTGCTATAATATATTAATTATTATTTATTATAATTACGATACTATAATTACGAATATTATAATTTTTATTGTATTACTTTTTATATTCATAAACTAAATTTATATATAGTTTCAGTTCAATTTATAAATAGCTAAATAATGTATTTATTTAAACAGATATTTTGATGCTATATTATCCTTAGATAAAATAAAAAAAGAATATATTTTTTACACCATTGAATTGATTTCTTGCTAAGGTTTTCCAAGAAGAATATTGATGTAAACTTTTTCTTCAAGTTTTATTAATAAAGTGGAAAAGTGAATGCTTGCGTAAAAAATGACATCGTGGACATAGATATTTTAAAATTTATTTTTTTCCCTAAATTTTAAAAATATTTCTGAAAAATATTTTTGAATAGAGTATGTAATGAATATGAAATATATATGTTTTTTGCAATATATATAATATATTTGAAACCAATTGATATTGTTTCCTCCAAAATTTGTAAAATATTGCAGAATAGTGTATTTATCAAATTATCTTCGGCGCCTTCATGCAAATTCCTTTTTAATATATTTATATTCTTATATTGTTGCACCGGGCTGCGGTTTGGCAGATTCTTCACTCTTGATTCTCTCCTCAGACGCGTCTTGCATCTTCCCAGAACGTGTCTCAACCATCCTACAAGGTTAAACCAGTCAATAATAAGACAACTATATTTTTAGGTAGCACCTAGAATCTCTATTTATTTATCATATCAAAGTTTAAAGCAGGTGGGGTATTTTAGTGTATCAAAATACAAATGTTTTATAGTACATAATATTTTATAGTAATAATCTGTTTTATAAAATAAATAAATATATAATTTAAATTTTAAATATATTAAAAATAATATTATAAATAATTTTTAAAATACGCGCATTAATCATGATGCAACAATATCAATTATAATATTATATCTTCTGATATAGAAATAAATATCGGAATATTGTAGAACTAATTCTAAACAAAATTTCAAATTTGGTTTTTAGAATGAAATCTGAGCACTATCAAAAATTAACATTATTTTGATAGAATTTAAAATTATTTTGATTTTTAGACTTGTTATTGGTTGAAGTTTCATTAACTTCACATTTAGAAAAACAAACTGCTTAGCACAAATGTTCTTTTTTTCGTTAAAAAACGTTTTCAATAAATTTGATTGAAAAATTAACATTTCGTTTTAAAATCTATATTTAGAAATTAAGATATCCCGCTTCTACTTTTTAGAAATAATTACACTAAAGATATTTACTGGAAAATTAGTTGACTTTGATATTCCTGTTTACACGATCGGTAGCTAATTTTCAACTCTTTCGTCGTTGTTGTTTCGCGTCCAATGAAGAACATCAGATGTTCCCATGCATCTCTATCACAGCAGTCACACTATCCTCTATTAGATAATAAAAAGGCATATATTGGCAAAAAAATATTTTTATTCTTTCCAATATATGCCTTTTTATCATCTAATGATTTAAATATGAATTGCTCTATTTTCGAAATATCCTTTATATTAAGTGTGTGAAGCCGCTGTTCTGGATTCATTTCAAATTTCTGCAAGGCTGCGGCCATGGCTAGACATGAGAACTCTTTGGTAAATACAGAAATAAGATGATAAGCATCATGAGCTAGAGTATGAAAGTTTATATCAGTAATAGTTATCGATAAATTTTTATCGCAATAGAAAAAATCTGAAGTGTTGACAATGATAGTTTTAGTATCATTTTTTATTTTGGAAAAAAAAAAAAAAACATTTTATTATTGGTCCAATATTTTGTGTAGCACTTTTGACGAAGTAAAAGTTAGTTGAAAGGAAACCTGTCGAGTTTTCTTACATTTTGTTCTAGTAATTGATCTCTTAATCTATCTCTTGAGGTATTAAATAACTTACATGTACTGTTTCTAATGCAACAAATATGGAGAATAAACATGATATTCATTTGTATAAATAATATAAATATTAGCAACAATTTCGTTAATACAACAACAACAAAAAGGCTTTTATTAGGGCCCATTGCCCTGTATGGATTCGTCATACAACAACAAAATAACACAATATTTATTTTCTTCCTTTCCCCATGTGCACGTGAGCCTTTGTTTGAAAAGGGATTTATTTACACATCTGTTCTAAAACTTTATTCACTACCTCTTTTGCGTATGAATCTATTTACAATCGATCTGTAGAAATTATAGAGTTCTATTGCTATATTTTTCTTTTCTGAAATAGTTCTCAGCGTCTGCAGTGGGTTGATAAATCTCCAGTAGGTAATTTATTTAATATATCTAAATACTTATGAGAGATAGAGAGAGGCTGGTCAGCTAAAATTCCGTGGAAGCTATATAGAATCCAAACTAACATACACAACACAAATTTATCTTAATATGCAAAAGAATCATGGCAAATATATTGATATAAAATGATGTATATTCTTAACACTCACTCACAATATAATTTCCATTTTTAATATAAAAACCTGACCTTTTTATAAGTTTTATAAATTTTTCATATATCATATATATTTCATATATATTGAGTAGAATATATTAGACCTCCAGGGAAAAGTATATTTTCAAATTATTTTTATTCCTCAGCTTTCGGGCACGAACGTCTTTCTACAGAAAAAAACATGATATAATATATTTTATATATTTCCTCTTGTTTTTTCAAATATATATATATATATATAAATAGAAGAGAGATTTTATGTTTGAATTTAGATCATGTTGAGGATTATGATAATGCAGTCGTGGTTAAAAATCTTGAAATAATTTAAATATAAATAGTCTTGATCAGATATTGCTTTAATTGAACCAATGGATTATATATAAAAAACAATTTGATAAAAGTAATGCCTGGCTCAAGGCGAGTAGAACAAGGAAAAAAAGTTATTTACATAATGTACAAAAGTTTTGAGCCAGCCAACGGGATAGAACAACAATGAGTTTTTATAGGGGAAGCGTGACCTCTGGCGGTCGATTTAGCAGAGTATTTGAATCTTATGAAATTATAATTTAAAATAAAATAATATTTTTATATAACATATATATATATATATATATATATATATATATATATATATATATATATATATATATATATATATATATATATATATATATATATATATATATATGGAAGCAATGGTCGCCTCTCCCGTCAAAATAAACTTCAGAATCTGACGCCATCTATTGACCGTCGCCGCAACTAGCGGCACCAACTTTGGCAAACTGATAAGCGTCCACCTAGAGACCATGGTTTCGGACTTATGGCCCTCGTCAGTCTAGGGCGGACTTTATTCCATGAGATTCACACGGGATCTCATACCACATTGCCAGCAAAACACCTCTTTGGTAGATTGTGAGGATTCCATTAGATCCCATGTGGATCTCATGGAATAAAGTCCGCCCTAGACTGACGAGGGCCATAAGCCCGAAACCATGGTCTCTAGGTGGACGCTTATCAGTTTGCCAAAGTTGGTGTTGTGGCTTTGTCACCGACCCGATGCCGCTAGTTGCGGCGACGGTCAATAGATGGCGTCAGATTCTGACGTTTATTTTGACGGGAGAGGCCACCATTGCTTCCATGGATTAATTTCCTCCCGGCAAATTTTCCATTTATATATATATGTATATATTTTTTTCTTTTTACACAGACAAACACACATCAATATAATGAAGTTATAAACATTCAAAAAAAACCTTTTTGTTTAGTCATTCTTCTTAATTTTAGTCAGTTGATATAATAGCAATTTTACATTATCCTGTTTATAAAGTCTCTCATAGTTTACAGCGTTATCGGTGACGCATGCGCAGATCATTTCTTTTTATACCCTTGCGTGAGCATAGACAATAATGAGTGGTAAGGAATTTCTACTTCTGATTGGCTTTCTACCGCATGTGGATATTGGAATATCGAGTAGTTACAATTATATTTTTGATAAGCAGAAGAGACGTCATTGTAGGGCATTGAAAAAAATACATTTATGAATATTTTTAAAAAGTTATATTATATTAATATTATATACTAAGCTGGAGACGAGTACAATTTATTTTGTAATTCACTTTAAGGGATCGATTTAGAGACACGAAATTTTTTTAATCGTATTTTAGCTTCAATATACACAAATTTACTTTGTAAATGCAAAAGACTAATGTGTGTGTGGTCTTTTATAATGACATAAATTTTAAAGAGAGAGGCTTCCAATATCAAGTAAAGCTTAAATTGCAATTAGAGTACCAGTCGGATTATAAACTTTCAATTAATTAGACAGAAGTATGTGTAAATAAAGATTCCAATTAAAAATAAATAAGAAGCGGAGGAAAGAAATAAAAGCATTCACAGAAAACCTTAAAGAAAACTTTAATTCTAAAATCTATAATTAAAAAATTCTTTGAATATTAGGAAATGGAGGGGCAATAAAAATCATTTTAGAAAGCCTCTAGTTTTTTTCTTATTTGAATGTTTTACCAAGGTGCTTTATATTTTCCAATAACGGCTTTAATTTATTTTTCCCCTACACCCGACAATTTTTTAAAAATATTTTTCTCTTTATTTAGAGAAAAAAAATATATATATATTGTGTTATTCAGGAATTGATCGTAGAATGTAATTTAAAACAGGAATTATTTTACTTGAGAAATTTCCGATGATGAAGTTTAAAAATAAAATTTACATGCCCTCCCTTTTTTATTGGACATTAATAGAATTATTTTCTTTAATTTTTATTTTGGTGAAGAAAACAAAAAAACATGAATTTTTGATATGGAAATTAAATTTAATATTCAAAACCTTTTTTCCCAAAAATAAAAATAAAACTTTCTAATGAAGGTTTTTCAGAGATCTAAAAGTACAACTTTCATAAATATACGATATATCTAAATATAGAGTAACTTTTCGAAAATAAATATTATTTTAGCTGTTAATTTAAATTTAGATAATGAGAAAAAAAATCAAAAAGGAATATACTATTTAGAATCCGTTTGCTTTTTTGAGGCGTGTATTTTTTATTTAGAAATTATAATCAGTTAATATTTAATAAATGTATATATATAGAGTTAAACTGTCTATATCGCCCCCTTTAAATAGCACCTCCCTCTCTATAGCGCCCGATTTTAAATACGTAGTACGATACGATTTACATTAGAGTGACCTGTCTATAGCACCCCTTCTCTATTGCCCCCTATTTTGGTGAGTCCCAAGAGAGGGCGCTATAGACATGTTTAACTTTATATATATATATACGAAGAAAACTATAAATCTCTATAATTCAATTGAACTCATTTCATAAAAAAAATATATATATAGTGATAAATATTAATAATTTTATATATAAGAATTAAAACTACAGAAGGACAACGACACAGCAAATGCGATTGCAAAATTAGCAGCAATTTCTAACTCAGACCGTGATTTCGACTCTTTCAAATGTCTACAAAAAGTAATATCCTGGATAAAAATACAGGAGTAAGCATTCCATTATTGGTACCTAAACCAAGAGCCTGAAGCTATCATGGAATGTGAACCGATAGGCAGCAACCTGCATCTCTAGTCTCAAAATTGGCCAAGAAAAACCGCTACTTTTCCAGGATTGTGTCAAGACTTTATCACAATGCACTATCTGCGGAACCAAAGAGGCCTCACCAGACCACCTCTTGGAAGGTATGGGAGCCTAAAAACAGGACCAATGTTCAACTAATCAAGATAGTGAAATTATTTCATTAATTCAATCTCCAGATCTTATATATAATTATAAAATCGAATAATATAAAAAACTACAAAGTGTGTGCCTATTAGAGTATAAAAAATAAAAATCTAAATAGTTATCTTCAAAGCACAATGTTATAAAGGACAGATTACCTTATAAAACATTAATTATAGGTAGAAAATACTATATATATTAAATTATAAAATAATATAAACTAATATATATAGTATATTGATAAATTGATATATAGTGAAGTAAGGTTTAAATTGGATTTATGTTTTATAATTGAGCGATTGGTCTTTACGAGTATG